TTTCCCATGTGTACAGTGGACAATAATAAGTAACAAAACTTTGTGTGCTCTGAACGTGTTGGGCCAGAGGAGGAATCGTCACTATACCGTGATGCATTGCGGCGGATTTTTTTCTCAATTGTGAATTTCGCGTGCGATCCACGAAATAATTGGGAGTTTTTATCGATTTTTTTTCTCGCTGAAAATCACGAAAGTTTCAAAGGTATTTATTAAAAATATGTTCTTGGGTATTGAAATTTACTATATAAATCTTTTATTTGGGTTATTTGATACTTTTGGGGCGAATAACTTGCATATGTTTTGACCTATTTTCCGGGTCACTGCACACGGCCGGAAATTGGCTTCAATATATGATGGGGTCGTTTATAGTTTAAAATAGAAAAAGTAAAAAAAAATCGTACTAGTACATAGAAGAGATGTTATTCTTTCAATTGATACCAAGAAATCAAAAACGACCCCTCAAACCGAGAAGTTAATGGCTTTTCAAAATGGGGTATTTGGTGCTTGATTTATTCGAACCAGATTCAAACTATGCGTAAACACGCGACATTCCGGTTACCGCGCGAAATGGCGCGAAAACACAATGATATTCAATTCATCATGCAATGGCTTGCAATCATGTTATTTTTCAGTTTTGATATATAGGAACATGAGTTCATACCCCTTATCAAATGTTCTTACCCATTTTCTATTATATTGATGAAGTATTAAAGAGACAATAGCTTGTTTAAATTAAGACTTATATTTACAGTTTATACTGGAGAAAGCAATGTTGTTTGTTTGTATTAATATAAAATAGGATACCTCTATGATTTGCTATGAAATGTAATCTTGTGATGTTGCTAATGAGAATACTGCTAAGCGTGTATATGTTTCGAGTAGTAATACCCAAGAAAGTGCACCTAGACCTGTGATTTTTTATGTCATCCGGCTACGAGAGCTCCTTATTGGCCAGGTATAGCACATGGCCTGCATGTTACATTTTTCAAAATGAAAGCTAAAATTATTGGGGGGGGGGCAATCGCCCCCCCCCCCTATTTTCTGCCACTGGAGTCAGGTATACGAGTATCATCAAGATGCTGTTCAAGGGCGGATTTTCATATTTTTTAAAGGAGTGGAAAAATTTCTAGTGAGGTGTAAGTGGCACCACTGAGCGACCTTCGGCAGGGGTTAGGCATTAGGATTAAAGACCTTCACACAAAATAGGAGGGGTGAACCAAAATTTTGGGGTTGAACACTTTATAAGAGGGGTTAGAGAGATTCTAGGGCACCCCCCCCCCCGTAAATCTGCCCATGATGCTGTTAGAAATTATTGGGCAGGTGAGGGGGTGTGGTCACTATGCTTTCAGTTTGAAAGGTTAAGAGCCCCCTCCCTGTGTGTACTTTTGTTGAATTTCAGGAATGATGATGCTGCATGGATATGTCATTGAAATTTTATGAACTCCATTCACTAGCATTACTCATTAGGCTGTATTCTTGTCAAAATTATGCTATGAATGACCCCATAGTCATAATCACTTCATATCTCTCTATAATAAAATGGCCAATGTTCCATCAACACCTGATATATATTTCAGAACAGTACAATTAACTTGTTTCATTTTATCTTTCTGTCTTTCAGATAGTCAACTTAAAGGTCAAGGGTATACAATTCCTACAGAAAAAGATTTGTTTCCTTGGAGGAGGCTGAATCTCATCATATTTTGGCTTGTCTATATATGACAGTTTGGCTGAGCTTGTAATTGACAACAGAAAAGATCATTTTACCAAAACACACAAGCCTGTAAATGTTGAATCTCAGACACACAGTACAACCAAACAGCATCACAATGTGAACTGAAACACCACAACCTGCATACATTGCTCAATCATTGCCCACATTGGAAAGTGTATTAAAATTGGCAAGCCATTTGGAGAATACTCATTGCATCTCATTCATAATACAGACTGTCCAGTAAAGCAATGATAAGGCATATTTTAAACTTTATTCATACTTCATTAGTTTTACATTTCACATTACACCATAGTATATATTATTGACATTAAGCCATGCTATAGTAATATGTAAAATAGGGGTGCACCAGAACCAATTTTTAAAGTTCCTGCCGGAACTGCGAAAAAGTTCTGGCCGGAACTGATTTATTAAGCCATATACAGTATAGTCATATGTTACTTTGTCTGCTGCCAGACAGGCAGACACTTCAAGTCATCAAGGAGAGCTCACAAATGTGAGAATAAAAAGATTGACAAACTTTAAACGTCATGTACATTTTCCTTGTGTAGTCCAAATTCCTTCCTACTGTGAACTTTTGTTTGCCACAAAAACGTATGGTATTCTATCTCTCTGAAAACAACAGAGTTCCAGTTCCGGTCATGCTTTTTTTATTAGTTCCGGCTGGAACTCTGAAAAATCGGAGTTCCAGCAGGAACTAACCGGCTGGAACCGAGTTCTGGTGCACCCACAATGTAAAATCATAATTTTAAAAAATAAATAAGTTAAGCAGTTAACATATAAATATATAAATAGGTATAAATAATTTTAATATTTTATGACTCTAGATAATATTTTATACAGTAGGTTTAGATAGGGGTATGCACATTAAAAGCACTGTTTCCTGTTCTTCTAACCTTATACTTTCCATGTATTTTGGTTTTAAAAATGGAAATAGTGCAACATTTCATAAAATAAAATAATTTCAAAATCAATTGACTTGTGTCTTTATTCTGTTTATAACCAGTGACCGTCGTGTACCAGAACTGTACGTGGCTGCACAGAGTTATATATTTTACCATTTATGGTTGTCTGTTAGTTTAATTTGTCTGATGGCATACAGACATACACCTCAAACCTGGGTATAAAATCTGTCTCATCAATATCACATGTACCTCTTCATCATCTTATCTGTTGACTCTCAATGAGGTGGTAGATCTACTAAGCAGACAGGATTCATATGTTCATGGTAGCAATTACATGGCGCTTGTCTTTTTACTGATTTAGTGGTGGAGTACAGCATCCAACTCTTGACCATCACTTTATGGTCACTTTATGGTGATGGTAGAATATCAAATTCCCACAAAATATTACATATATTGAATATTCTCTTTGCCAGGGTCATCCAAGTCGAAGAACTAATACAAGATATACAAGAACAAATCAGTTTTATATATAGTCAGAATAAACTTCAGGAGATACTGTATAAAAGATTGTACAAAGTCCTACATATATGCCCTAAAAATTTAAAGTGGCTTCCAAAACTTGTTACGATTTTAAATCTTTATCATGATTTGAAGTTTCTGTAGTGAATATTATTCCTGAAGTCGATATAACTGGTGTTAGTTACATTTATTGTATATGGCAATTTTAAAACATGGCAAATTTGATATAAATCGTATCCATATTTATTGAGGCTGTGCATGTTTGATGTTTCTACAAAGTGCTCGAATATCTACAAATTCAATATAACCTGGTATTGTGAAAAGCTCACCTTAAAAACACAACTAGAATGCATCATTCGGTAAACATTTGGGCAACTTTAACCCCATTCACAGTTGATAGAAAAATTGCATGGCTTCTCAGCTGAAACTAACGTTAATCTTACGCCACTGTTCAACACACATTACTCCATCAGGGGCTAGATACAAAAGCTGTGAGGATCCAACAAACATAAATCAGATGAGGTGCTTCACTGCTTTCAAAAGAGAAGCTTTAATCCCATGCCAGAAGCGAAAAATATGCGCCATTTTCTAAAACGATAGATTTTCTGAGATGTGTTTACAACGACAGCCAACGAACACTGAGCGAGCTGCGCCGGAGAATTGATAATATGTATACAATGGTCCAAAACCGCAATGCATTGTGGTATACTGACGAGACCTCCTCTGGTGTTGGGCTAGAGACTTACTGGAAACTTTTACAGGCCTTTTAATGAGAATAGAGAATGTTTTATCTGCAACTGTTCACCCTTAGTTGCAACCGACGGTATTTGACAGCATAAAATTGCCTGTGGCTGTGATAACTGATAACTGATATAAATAAAATACAGTCTGGTTATACTGACTTGAGCGTGTCAATGGTGTCATGACAAACTCTTTATTGGAAAATTGTGAAGAAATAGTCGAATATAGAGGGTCGAATATCATTCTTCAACTTGTATATATAGCTACAGTATCATTGGTACATAGCGTTGTGAAGACAAGCCTTTGCTTACCTTTCGCTTCAGCAGTCTTTTTTTCCATGCTTCTCTACGCTTTCCCAGGCGAGCTTCTCTTTCCTCAGCAGTCTCCTCGAGCAAACGTTGTCGTCTTCGCTAGCTCCCTCCTTTTCGCGAGACGTTCGGCTTTCTTGTCGTTTCCTTGCCGCTCTTCATTTGGCTCCATACAGTAGTCGATATCTTTTCAATTGGTATTTGATACCGTAATTGTTTTATTAAACTTTTTATAGAACAAATTGCTTTGAAAGCTGTCAAAGTTTTTTGCAAACGTTAACGTACAAAATATTGCAGTGCAAAAAGCAAAATATTTTCATGAAGTATCTGTCAGTTGAAGTCGTCATTCGTCGTACAACAACAAATTTTAAATTTGACCAATCAGTGTTCGCTATTCATGACAGTCCGCCATATTTTTGAGATCAGTGAGGATGACCACCCACCGAAACACGCACAGTGACCCACGCCGGCGATATTTGATGAACTTCACACTTCCCTAATGCTTTCGTTTCCCCGGGTGTAAATAGCCGGGGGGAATTAGTATCCTCGCACGGCGCTTCGCGCCGCCGGCTCGGGGAAAATGGGTAGTTTGAACATGTCAAAGTGTTGAACATCTGAATATTTGGAAAGTGTATCGAACCACTTTAAAAAAACAGCCAGTTGATAAATGAGTCGATCACTTCGATATATATGATTGCATAAATAACCTTTCAGGACTTGGCCTTAGGTATTTGTTTATATCATATTATTTAGATCAGTATAGAGAAGTTTATATGAGAAGACATCGCCTGGTGTATAAAATATCACTAGCAGAATCAAATAGAAATAAATTAGTCATACTAACCTGATCTATTTTGTTCCAAAAATCCGTATTTTAGTTTGCAAACTGTAATATATCTAATATGCTTCGAACACATGTTGTCAATCCAAGTGTCAACATTTTAATTCCCCTCACTTCACAACCCTCTCTTGCGCAATGCCCCCCCCCCCCGCCCCACCCCGAGAATAGGAAATATTACCGGGCAAAACCCAGATTAAGATTTCGACTATACTTAAATCCGAAAAAAGACTGGAGCGAGTACAAATCTGGAAACATGTCAAGAGTAGGGAGTTGCCTGAGACAGCAATAAATAATGCCATGGACAGTATTTTCTGGGCACTTTTTTCAAGCTCGGCCGGTCGTCTCGAAGATGAAGTACGTACGTGGATATGGTCGCAACACTTAAACTTGAAAGTGTTGCAAAGGAAAAAGACTTACCCTTAACAATTTAAAGAAAAATTGGAAAAAGAAAAAAAGTGAAAAAATTTGACTAAAACATTAAAAAAGGTCTGTTTTTTTTAAAAAATTTACGCAACAAATAACCTAAATTTGCCCCATCTAAAAATTTAAATTTGGTTCATAAGTATGAATTATAAACAAACGTTAGGTTCCGTATTCCTCAATTTAGCCACAGCATACATGGCCTTGGCCGGGTGTAATTTAATTTTGGCCTCATTCTTGAAGCATTGTCAAAAAGGAATATATACATTCATTTGCATGAACTTTCTTTCATTTATTTCCTAGTTGTTATACAAGTGCAGCTAGGCAATTCTAAGTTACATTATCAATTAAATATAGTGATCAAATAATTATCCTCATCATTACGTGCTTAAAGTGACACAAAAGTGTGCATGCATTAACTATGTGCTAATTGTTAAATATCAATGTAAAATTAAGTCAAGAAAACTAAAAAAGAATGGAGTTAATCAATTTCATTAGACAAGGATATGTTCAAACTTAACGAGTGCACACTGCGCATGTCAGCTCACGTCCGTCGACATATGGTAGGCAGGGAAGTGAGCCACATTTTCCTTCAACGAAATAAAATAATGCTCCGTTGGTATTGGCACTGCTTCCTTGTATGTATTCAGGGTTTTTATCCACACATGTATGCATTGTACGATAGTGAGAATATTTTTCGGCCATGAGGTATCCTTGGTATTCACGTGTCCATCCACTTGGGCAAACGTTACGAGCAGGTATCATAATTTGAGAAGCACGATTGGTCACATGACACACGGCACATGGAACATCGTGCTGGTACAGGCTGCTTGGAAATATGCCATCAGATTCTGATTGATATTCAGCGCCATAAATGCGAGCACGAGATTCTTGATTACCAGATTTATATAGACCATATATTGGGTTCAGTGGCAAACACAGGTAATCAGAAGCACCACCTTGTTCTGAATAAAACGAACCCCCAACGAGGCCTATGGAAAAAGAAATATATACATTATAACCCATTATTGCTCAATTAAAGGGAAATAGCACTATATTTTTTATTTTCTCGTGTGAAAGAACATTTAAAATCATATCTAAAACTTTTTTACCGTTTTTTCATATCATGCTTATTTTACAAATATTTTAATCGAATTAAATGAATTGTCAGCCATCTTCGATTTTTGTACATATGCATGTTACGTCACAACACGCAATACTTTTATCTTGACAACCACTGATCATTATGCACTCAAGATTATACTCTGTATGCCCTTGGAAATACTAACATCTCTTAAAACCTTTAAAACATCTACCAATTAATATTTGGTCAACAAGGCGAATACTTTTATATGGCTAGTCCCTGTTGTGACATCACCAAAACAACCGTTAATTTAATGAGATCAAAAATTTATCCAAGATGGCGGACATCTCATTACTTAAGTGAAAATATTTCAAGAACTAAGCAAGATATGAAGAATCGGTAAAAGAAGTTATTAAACAGTTTCAAAAGTTCTTTCAAATGAGAAAATAAAAAAATTATATTGCCATTTCCATTTAATATGATAAAACACTCCTACCCTTGTTTTAAATAGTACTTAAAGTCCATAACATTTCATTCGCACAGCATTTTGAGTAAATGCCCAATTAGTCCTACCATTAGCCCTTGTCACAACTAGATGCACTGGAAGACTGTATACATTCGTCAGCGAATAATGTTTCGTATATCATTAAATTGCAAGAATTGTAAGAATGGGCTAATTACGTATTACGTTTACTCTGCCCGGCAAAACAATACTAATTTTTCATCCAAATTTAACAAAATTTTAATTAAGTTGATGTTGCACTCTGAAAACACCCTGGTAAAAAATTTACTGATAAATATAAAACTAACTCTGTTTGGGATAACCTAATGTTCCGCGTTCAATTTTCTGGTTAATTCAACCGTATACATGCGTCCTATAGTTAAATTAACCAGGAATGCTGAAGAATTTAGCTACGATAGTGATCTATTTATGGAATAGTGATCAAATTATAAAACAAATTTTCCGGCGTCGTCTCATTTAGGTGCATGGAAACAATAGCCAATTGCAATGCCGCCGAAGGAAAGTCATTAATTTATAATAATGGATATGATACAACGCACATATATATTAATATCCAAATGGATTTTTTTTGAGATTATAGTTCACACCTTTTCTCTAATATATACAGGTAATATAACGTCGAAAAACTCGCTGTGACACGAAACGAACAGTTTCATTCTTACCTTCATATACCAATGTAGTTCCAAGGGTGTTTGGACAGGTCTTTCTACCCCACCGGACATAACTAACTCCGACTTCCCCTGTCAGAATGTAAAGTATATAGATATTATATTCAATGAGTGGCTTAAGATGTAAACCTAATTGGTTGATGTAAAGGGCCTGATCGTTCGAAGTTTCGAAATTGTCCTGATATTTTTGAGGTAGTTGCATCGCTACCAACGAAAGCGTTTTATTTATGGGCACTACCTACACAGGCAATGAGAGTTCAACATTAATTTAGGCCTTCCAAGACACAGCTACGAAAAATGCCACTGTGTAGGCACTCTGCCAGGAATCGAACTTGCGACCCACCGATTCTTGTGCAGCGTTC